TCGCTGCAGAGCGTGCAGACTCGCAAAACAAAAGCAGATTCAAACATCACATTTAAAAGTTATAAATGTCTGATGCTTTTGTATTGCTGATGAATGGTGTCTAAAAAGGTCTTTGCCTGACTTTTGATTTTAAGCATGCATGAGTATGTTAAAAACAACAACAAAAAAACGTCTTGTAAGTAAAACTATTTGAGCTATTTGAGGGGGGTACGCTTTTCCAAGACAGCTGACCGCCCTTGCCAGGGCATTTGAGTTTCCAGAGGGCGTGTTGTGGGGGGAAGGGGACAGATGGTGGCAGTGATGGGACTATTCCAGCCAGGTGTAGGATGCCAAACAACACCTCCACCATTCAGTGGGGCTCCATGTGATGTCATCTCACGACAATCCACAAATGAGCCAAACAACAAGCCACGGTTCCCGCTCTGCTTTGCAATTACACAAAAACCGAGAGAGCACACAAAGACAGAGCCAATTTGCCCCTGACCCCTGTTTTACCAGTGCACTTTTAACAGTTTACCTCTCGCACGTGACAGCCATTTTTATTCAATATTTATCTTCACTCGGGCTCGCATCCAAGTTCAACTATCCCCAAGTTTCAAACAGAACACACACTTTTTTATTATGCAAAGTTATTAGACTAAGCATTAAAACCACTGCGACGTCTGCGCTTGTCTAGAGTTTTCAAGGATGTATAGTTTAACAGGGCCACTGTAATCTCTCAAGTACTCACAACACAAGAACTGCGAGGCCTTGAACAACAACCATCACCCACTCACCGAGGTTTATTCTGTTTAAAGCCCTGCTTGTTGCTGGCCTGCTGCTAATGCCACTAAACACCTGTTTTTGTCTTTGAGGAGTCCCAGCAAACACAAACCCATGGGGTATTCCAACGATGAGACATTCAATAAAACTCTGTAAAGTTATTTATTCTCTATTGGAGAGAGAGAGAGAGAGAGAGAGAGAGAGAGAGAGAGAGAGAGAGAGAGAGAGAGAGAGAAACGGGAGAAGGCAGACGGCATGACTAAGCTTTGAAGAAGGGGGAAGTTCTCAGATATCCAGCTAGGACATAAAACCAAGGGAATGACAGGGACATCCTACCTGTAAACAATAAAGGGGGTGGAAGGGACTGCTTTTTATCTTTAACAGCAGCTGTAAAACACACACCAAGCTGGGGTCTGCAAAAATGGCCCAGAGGCAAGGGAGGGTGGCTAAAACAGAAGTGGCAGGAAGACCGCCGCTTCCCAGACACAAGGGTCTTCCTGCTGGAAAGAAAGGGGGCTGAAAAATGGAGGGGAAGAGATGGGGAGGACAGCTTATGAAACAAAAGAAGGGCAGATGTAAAGGAAGGGGAGGCTGAGTAAGGGAGATGACACAAATATGACCTTTGATTACAYGGGGGGTGTATAGCCGGGCTCGGCCGTGGGCAGCCTGCGAGGCCCCACGCTGCTTTCACACAGCCACACCTCAGCCAGTGTATCCTGATCGGAACAATATGGCTGAAAGATGAACCCGTGGCCATAAATGCCAGCAGTGAAGACAGCTCCACTGTGTCTCCTGCTCTGACACCATCCAGCATCTCAATCCGGGCCTCGCAGCCAAGAGGAGCCCGTCTCCGGATCCGCCGCCGGAGCCAGCAGAAGATAAAATGTCGATTTCAAAGTCCTTGTAAATGAACTGGCTGAATTAAGCAGCATTAGATGCGTTTAAAGATCCGTGACTCACTGTATCAGCCAGCACACGGGGGGAAGGAAGCTGCTCCAATGTCACATTCCCAGAACACAGTGCAAGTGTAAACTATAAATCGACCACCTGGCACGCGTTACAAAAGACCGACTTGTAGTAGGTGAAGACGGACAGAAACAAATGCAAACTGACAAAGTCTCTGTCGGCTCGAAGAAACACGGTTCAAGCTGTAAACGTGCGCTTGAGCCACTTGTTACCGCCAAAACTCACGAGGAAATTTTCTCTCAAATCATGCTAAAAGTATGGCATACTGGCTGGGAACTGTGCCAAGGAAGAACAGTGCAACTGCCATCACTCTTTTCAGCAGCAGAGGTGTTGGGATGGCTCACAATACAAAAAAAAAAAAAATACAAAAAAAAGACGCATCTGTAAAGTCAGACGACGGCCTTTCAAGGAGCCACATCAGAAACCTGCCTCTCAATNCATCTGTAAAGTCAGACGACGGCCTTTCAAGGAGCCACATCAGAAACCTGCCTCTCAATGCATTTTTACACCAACCCTAAAATATTTATGTTCTTTCTCAAGTATTCATGTGAACTCGAGTTTGTCCCAGAGGGTGGGTGGGGGGGGGGTTGATTCAGATAAACCCAACACGCTCAGCAAACTCCGCTCTCAGTTGTGCTATAATGTTGCAAGCATACAGGTCACCTGAAGGAATGCTAATGACCCGTCCCGTCCTGCTAACCAGCTCTGAACCTGTTTCTGCAGCCTTCTTTCATTTATTTGGGTGAATTGATTAAATAAAAGAAGATAGCACGGTCCAGATTGCTCTACTTGAGGACATTTATACTTAATTTTATGAGTTCCAAAATAAAATAAAACTATTTGTTTTTAGAAACATTTTCCAACTCTTTTTTTTCCAATTCATCTTTTTGAAATAGCAGCAAATAGCCTGCTTTGATGGACTAATCTAAAAAAAAAAACATGCATTTTCCCAAGAGCCAAGTTTTGCTTAACTTAGTTTTACGTGCTCTTAACAAAAGAAATGTACTGTTATTGATAAGAGTCCGTGTTTCAATTATTTATTTCTAAATATACAAAAGAAATCCGCTGTTTTCATAAATCGCTAACTAAAAAAATAAAACATGAATAGCTCTGAATTAGTCTTCATCTCTCATCAACCTTTTTGCGTTATGACATGCTTGACATTTTCAAGTATTATTAAAATAATAAATCAAATTGTGCGCACAGGCAGAGTGCAATAACCAAAAAAAAACATTTTAATAGAACCTATATGAGCTTTCCAAATGATCAGAAAGTATTCGGTGAAGGTAATTCAATCACACACTTGAAATCTAAAGGATTAAATCACATTTATCTCCAGGATATTAGTCTGCGCTGCAGTCCCACCCATGTGACGAAGCCGAGGAGAACAATAAACCATCTCTGGCGTTCATCGAACAGCGATGACATTTGGAGGGCTGGGTCTACGTGTTGGCGCTGGAAAACACTAAATCTGATCGGCGGGAGCACCTCAAGCAGCTTCTCGGCTCTCAACGTAACATCTGTAAGAAGAGAACGACGTGCAGATGCAGCCTCCCTGTATATGTGTGTGTGTGTTTAGGTGTGTGTGATGTGAATACCAAACATGTCTGTTGAGAGATGAATGGTGAGCAGCATCTGTGAACTCTCCTGAATGACTAATTGAGCCAAATGTTTAAGCTGTTTTTTTTATTTCTGCAATTATTCCAAATCTTTTCAAACGCAATAAAGTTGACAAAAATAGAGATGTTTTAGCCACCACTGAATAAGAGATTAAAAATAGAAATAAACAAAAGGTGATTTAAATATAGCAAGGCAGGTTACATATCAGAGGTGGCTTTGATGCTCTGAATAACCACCTACACTGATATCACCTATTTCTGGTATAGCTTCAGTGGATAAAAACGACTTCAAATGGCTGAATGTTTCATTTTGCTTTCCAGTAACCTCCTCAGCTGCATCGTAAACACACGTTCKGAGGCTTCATTAACATATTATCAAAGAAAATGATTGTTGAAGAGGAACTTGACGCAATCAGTGCAATCATTCTTTTGACTTAATCAGGCTTACAGGAAAAATAGAAACAAGAAAAAAAAAGAAAAAGAAAACAATAACATGCATCTTGTGATCCAGTTTTTTTAAAACATCTGTTTAATTATAGGCCTCCTTTATTTGTGTGTGTGTGTGTGTGTGCTTTTCTTCAAACAAAAGACAAAAACAAAAGAAAAATCAACAGCAGATTTGTGCATATCTTAACTAATAAAACAATAGCCACCTTTGCAATATGGCTTCAAAAAGAATCACCATAAATCAAAAGAAGCTGTGAAATAAAGCATCACTGATGTCTTGGGTTGGGGGGAGGGGAGGGGGGGGGTGCTTCTTGCTTTCCAGGGCTGCTGAAGGTTATTCTGTTGAGCAGTCTTCTGGCTGCAAGGCGCACGCTGACTTGATCTGTTGTGTTGCAAACGTGCACGTTTTGCCTCACATGATACCCAAGTCACTTGTTAAACCTGATGCATGCACTGTGAACACATTTGCACCCAGACACTTCAAAGCCCAAATACAGGGGGAGTGGGGGTG